AACACAACCACTTTACCAGGCAATATCGATGACGTCGGGTCACGAAGCCACTGTGTATGCCTCGGTATTGCAACAGCGTCAAGCTTCTCACTCTGACACATATTATGTTTGCTGCGGTGATGGTGTCATGCTGCGATGGTGCGTCAATACGAGCGGAAAAAATTGAAAGTAAATTGCCAAGTCAGAATGTCTCATGAGGTTGTTGTGCATGCCGATGCAGCGAACAGCAGTGAGCAGAGACGCATAGGACACAAGCAAGGGTTGGACACCCTCGCCCAGTTTCGTCCAGTTTTCTAACAGCGGCGACAAACAAAGCTTATGACAGCCGCGACAAACAAGGCCGTAGAACAATCTGCATGTGATCGGCTGAGAGCGGTCATTCTTTTGAGACACGTGCGGTTGAGTCTATGCATTGCGCTGCAAGTGTGCGTGCGTCAGAAAGTGTTCAATCCACTCACACCCACGAGTGGAGTGGGTGGCACCACTGCAGCACCAAGCCTGACAAGCAGCCCAGACACGCAACAGTGACTGCGAAGACTAACCACGAAACAGCAGTGCTCTCGGCCTTGAAGAGAACGATACCATCACCGATAACAACGGATGAGAAAACGATGTTGGCGAATCTCGCTCGTAAACTGCTGTACATTGGGTACGGCTCGAAGGAAATGTACGAACATATCTAACGCCAATTCAAGCGGCCCCAACCAAATCACGATCAAGCCACCTCATCCACGACCCATCCAGCTAGTTGAGCAGCAACGGAAGCACACGCCACCGTCAGCGAGCGACCAAAGCGCGGACAGTTTTCAAAGCAATGGAGGTGACAGCTTCTACTTCACGGAGGTTGAGCTGTTGGGGTTGATTGAGCTGTTGGGGTTCGTTGGACACAGCTTTGCACTTCCGATAGGACATTTGCGGTGTTGACCTACTGCACGCTTGCATACCGATGGACTGGTAGAAGAAACCTAACTAACGACCCATCAACACACGAAACACACGAAAGTTACTTACCCGAGTACAAGGTCATAAAGCACTGCAGTACATCGTGTTTGGTTCATCGGTACTGACTTTCAAACCGTCCGTGATGTGTGTGTGTGTGACAAAAAAAGAACCACCCGCGTGCTGTAGTTCGTTCGTCGTGTGTTCACCAAATGAGAAACTTCATGGGCCCCGCGCAAGGCACACCTACCCGCGCCCGTGCACCTGCGAGGGTGGCATGTCCGTCACAGCTAATCATGCATGTGGGGGGTAGACATGCGGGGCAGGTGCTGTGTAACATGATGTTGTGCGAGATGGTGGGAAGATGGCGGTGGGAACAGGGCGTATCAACGAACAATCCGCGCACGCGGGATGTGTGCGTGAAACACAGCAGTCGAGGAACGCATCTCTTGAAGCCTCTTTGTTGGCATTGCCGTACCTGTTTAGCGCTCCAGCCCAGTCCAACCAGGGTAGTCGACGCCGCCAATGGTACGTTTTTGTCGAGATGGTACTGGACATCGAGCAGAAAGGATGAGTGGGTGAGGTTCTCTGGACAACTCCAAACGTGAACAAGGGCTCGCGCTCGTTTTTTTTTTTGGCAACGTGCTCGTTTTTTTTTTTTGCGACAATTCTCTCCGCGCGACAAAGAGAGCGAGGCGACCCGCAAACGCTCGTTCTTCTCGGCTCCGAACAAGTAAGCCATGCCTAACCCACGAACGATGGTATCGACAGCGCAGGCCTTGGCGATTTTGGATGCTCTCCCGACGTCTGGCGGGCGTTTGGTGTTGCAAAACGCGTTTTTTCGACGGACAATCTGAGATCCTGATTTGAAACCCCAACCCTGATTTCTGTGACACGTGACAAAAAGGGGGCCCTAACCCTAACCCTAACCCTAACCCAAACACTAATCTCCCGTATCACCATGCTCTCCGCTTTTACCACCTACCCAAGTACGAATGGTGCACGAAACCCTCCATTTTTGACAGAAACCAATCGAGCATTGCGTTGGCACGGCTCCCACTTGCTGCGCTTGGGGCGGTCTTTGGGTGGTGGAATTTTCATACCCGGGGGAATATCTCGACCTCTTCGTCGATACCGACACCCCCGCTGTCTGAGACCGGTGTTTGCTCTTCACCACGCTCGTGGCCAAGACACGCAAGCGCTTTGCATTTTTTATTTCGGTGTTGTTCGATGATAAACGCCTTCAATCTGGTCGAAACACCCACCGACCCGGTCATGGGCATAGCAATCCCCCGTGTTTTTCGGTACTTCTGACATACCGAAATCGCTCGTGCGGACGCTCTACACTGCCAGTGCATGCCTGTCTTTTTTTCCGCGGCATCTGTATGCTCAAGGCACGCAGCAAGCGTGTTCCTCGGCAAAAATAGTTGAATCGCCGGCCTAGTGAGCTATTTCAGTGAATCGGTAGGAAGGCTGCTACAGTTGAGGAACATTTTGCATTTTTCTGTTTAGCCGGAACAAGGCAATCAGCCACACGACGGGCTCCGCGACCCTGTCTGAAGCTTGTAGAAGACGTGTTGGACGTGGTCGGGGACGGTCAAAGTTTCAAACCAGCGGCTTTCACATATTTTGCACGGAGAAATGCCTTTTTTTGAATAGTCGGACCGTTAGCCCTACGGGGCCCGCTAGGATAAGGAATGCAGCTCGAGCACTTGGCCATTGTGAGGTACTAATCTCCCGTATCACCATGCTCTCCGCTTTTACCACCTACCCAAGTACGAATGGTGCTCGAAACCCTCCATTTTTGACAGAAACCAATCGAGCATTGCGTTGGCACGGCTCCCACGTGCTGCGCTTGGGGCGGTCTTTGGGTGGTGGAATTTTCATACCCGGGGGAATATCTCGACCTCTTCGTCGATACCGACACCCCCGTTGTCTGACACCGGTGTTTGCTCTTCACCACGCTCGTGGCCAAGACATGCAAGCGCTTTGCATTTTTTATTTCGGTGTTGTTCGATGATAAACGCCTTCGATCTGGTCGAAACACCCACCGACCCGGTCATGGGCATAGCAATCCCCCGTGTTTTTCGGTACTTCTGACATACCGAAATCGCTCGTGCGGACGCTCTACACTGCCAGTGCATGCCTGTCTTTTTTTTCAGCGGCATCTGTATGCTCAAGGCACGCAGCAAGCGTGTTCCTCGGCAAAAATAGTTGAACCGCCGGCCTAGTGAGCTATTTCAGTGAATCGGTAGGAAGGCTGTTACAGTTGAGGAACATTTTGCATTTTTCTGTTTAGCCGGAACAAGGCAATCAGCCACACGACGGGCTCCGCGACCCTGTCTGAAGCTTGTAGAAGACGTGTTGGACGTGGTCGGAGACGTGTTGGACGTGGTCGGGGACGGTCAAAGTTTCAAACCAGCGGCTTTCACATTTTTTCACCTAGAAATGCCTTTTTTTGAATAGTCGGACCGTTAGCCCTGCAGGTCGATCAAGGATAAGGAATGCAGCTCGAGCACTTGGCACTTTGGAGGTACTAATCTCCCGCACGAACGTGCTTCCTGCTTCTACCACCTACTCAAGTACAAATGGTGCACGAAAACCTGCACGCTTGACACGAACCAATCGAGTATTGCCTTCCCACGGCTCACACCTGTTGATGTGGGGGCGGAGTTTGTGTGGTCAACTTCCAGAGTCCCAGATGAGCCCTTGACCTCTTCCTCGATGCCGACACCCCCGCTGTCTGAGACCGGTGTTTGCTCTTCACCACGCTCGTCGCCAAGACACGCAAGCGCTTTGCATTTTTTGTTTCGGTGTTGTTCGATGATAGACGCTTTCAATCGGGTCGCATCACCCACGCAGCCTGCCCTTGCCTTTGGTGCGGACTGGGTTTTTGAGTGTTTGGTGGGCAGCCAAACGACTGTCATGGGCACCCTAGTCATACAGTGCCTTACTGTTTTTTTTGTCAGCGACGCCTGTGCATTCAAGGCACGCCAAACCCACGTGTTCCGGAAACAATAGGTGAAACTCCGCACTAGGGAGCTATTTTAGTGTCTGTATACGAGAGCGTTACCGTTTTTCCTTTTTTCCATAATTCATTTTCGGATAAACGCGACAAGTAGAAACTCGTCGGTTGCCCGTATCATCATTTGCGGCGCATGTGTGAAAGTGCTTGTGGGAAGTATCTTCTATGATAAAGAAGAAACACTGGCTCGGGTTGTATGCACCGTTTTGACCCCACGCGGTGAGACGCCAAGGACCATATGACACGAGTCCGCCGACCTTGCGATTCGGGTAGTAATTTTCCGAAGCTTCCGGCAACCATCTACCATGGTAGGTGTTTCTAGGGCGGCGCAAGTCTTGGTGCGGATTCCGGTTATGTCCATATTATACATTTGCGTCTCGCAAGAGTAGGCGAGCGTTTCGAACGGACGGCACAGCGGGGTATGCATAATGTTCAACTGGAACAAACAGCACCCAATTCCTCCAACATATACCACCGCTTTTGGTTTGCATGTTGTTGCGAATACGTAACGTTGAGTTGGTGGACGTCAATAAACCCAGGTATCTCTACAAGTACGAAGAACGTCGGTATTTGTGTGCTGGTTTTATGATAAGAGGTGTACGCGAGGGTGGCATGGGTGACGTAAACTTCCTTGCTCATCGATAATATATACGAAACAGTAAACAAGGCCGTTGTTTTTCCGACAGCTGAGTGTGCTAACGGTGGGTCGGGCTTCCTCACAGGGCGTTACCTAAGTGTGCCTACATACACCAGCGAATCAATTTGGAGTACACATTCGGTCTCCCTGGAACTCATTGCAATATTTGTAGGATTCCTATACAAAACGGGGGGGGGGGGGGGGGGGGACCCCGAAACTATATTTTTTGGTCGGTTAGGGTAGAGAGGGATGCGTGAAAACTCAATGTTTAAACTTCACACACCCAACCTATTGCTGTTCAAATAGTGCGCACCACCGACGCCACGGATGCACGCGATGTGGAGCCTCCGTCTTCTGTGCTCACCCCGTACTGTGGTACTGCTGCTGCTCGCGCTACTCATGGCCTCAGTTGGCGAGATCGACAGGGTTGCTGCGGCCACCGATCCCGGCACTGTTCCTGAGGTTCCGGCGCCCTCGACTGCTTCTGCTCGCCAACCGCTTGGTCTCCTCTCCGAAATAAGCCCCAACACAGACCGGAGGTGAGCTGGTATTGAGTCGCGAAGGCTGTGGACCTTACAGCTGTTTCATTGCGGTGGGCGTTGCCCTGCGGTTGCTGCTGCTTCTTGGTGCTGGTGCTGCTGCTGCTGCTACTCGTCGTGGTGCGAATAAGCCCTCCCCAAGCTCCCAATTGGTTGGAATGGGCTATCAGAAGTCACTGAGCTCGTCATATCAAAACCACCCTGTTGTTGTTCTCGTTCATCATCTGGTGGCACTGCCCAACGGTGTTTTTGCCTGCACGCTTATCCTGTTGCGGCGGATCGAGTGGCAGCCCGTGGTGACAACAACCTCGTAACCTTGAACATGACACGTGACACACACGAAAATCACAACTGCCACTTTTTTCTTCGTGCTTCCACGAAATTATCTCTTCGCATTCGATATTACGTTGACTGGCTACGCTAGGTGGTTCACTTTGCTGCCGTGCGAAACTGGCGTTGCCAATGACGAACTACATCGCTAAAAGACGGGCCTCACGAAGGACCGAACGGCAGCGCTCTGCACCTTCCCTTTCACACGGTTGGGAAGGCACGGTTCGAACCGAAAAATAGGCGTTAAGTCGCCGCCTTTTTTCCCAACGCACAAACACCCATATGCATATGATGCTCAAACCAACCAAACGTTCTTCGGTAGATTGGAGAGTACACACGTTCTGTTTGCGAGTATTCGTACAGCTTATGTAGTGTTCATGCACCACGATAGTTGCCAACGGAACCGCGTGGAGTGGTGGGGTTCCTCGCAAGCATGATGCCTTTCCTCGACGAACATCACCATATCGTCTATAGCAAGTAGCCAGGAGTCTGCCATCCCAATATGCCGGTGAACTCTCCGCTTTGACCAAGTGCGACCGTGAATTATAAACTCGCAGCGACCCTCAATTTGTGACGCTGAAACGATATCATGCCTAATCCGGTCGTATGGGCTGCATCCATCGGTACTGCTGTGTACACAGCAGGCAGGGTGGTTCTGCTGGGCTGCACGGCAGCACCCTGCCGTGAACGCAGCAAGGTCGCCCGATCAGTTCACACATCCATTTTCCCGATTTGTTATTCCAGGTGAATTTCGAAACAAGCTGTTGCACCACAACGAGACCAAAAAACGACGGAATATGTTCTGTTCCGAAAACTCTACGTCCGACAAATTGAAAGTCGACGAGAATGACACGTGCGGGTAAAGAGTCACATTTCGGCTATTAGCCCGTTACGCGCACAACTTGTCATGGTGTCGGACGAACAACTCTCGCAGGGATTAGCCACTTCATCTACACTACGCAATCGTGGGAGAGTATGTTGGATGTGCATCTAGACAGCAGCTGCTCTAGAGAGTAAAAAAGTCGCCTACACAGTGCGTTTTTTGGTTCATGCATTTTTTGATTGAGGTGTCCACACATTTATTTGCCAGGTTCCTCGCTATCTGTTGTTCAACTAAAAACCCGTACATTTTGTATTGTTTTCATCCAAGGATATATTCCAGAGGACCCCAGCGTGAGAACTTTTAAGTCGCGGTGTTCTCCAGCTGCGTATAGTATCGAAAGAGCCACCTCACTGACAGTCTCCAATCAAAATTTGCCGGTTTTTTTCATTTTTCATAGTTCTGATTTTTCCTGCAGAACGAACATATCATGACGCACAGTACATCCAAGGCGCCTTCGACGTTTCATCCGGCGTTCTTCACCCGAACAACGAGTCATGCCACGTTCGGGGTTTTTGCACTGTGTTCGGGTCCCTCGAGGCTTCTCGTATATTGGAGGTCATTTTATTAACCACCCCGTATTTTTATTTGGGCCATGGAAGCAAGAGGTTGTTCACACAGAGGAAGAACATGTACTCGCTCGCGAGGTTATTCAGATGAGTAACGAACCCGTGGACGTATTTTAGATGTTCGACCAACCCGTCGCATAGACCCGCGGGTTGTTTGGGACATTTACCAGGAGGTATTATCGATGGGTATCAGACTCCCTCAGGGTTATTCACATGAGTAACGAACTCGTAAACGTTTGTTACATGTCAGACCAACCCGTCGTACATTACCACCCCGCAGACTAATTGGTAATGTTCCATGAAGAAGGGATCGCCCCGAGGAGTAACAGAAAAACCTGGACGTTATTCAGCTGAGTAACGAACCCGTAGACGATTTTCAGATGAGTGACCAACCCGTCGTATATGTACTACCCGTTTTGTTTGGGACATTTGCCACGGGGTTGTTCGGATGAGTAACATACTCGCTCAAGATTTATTCAGATGAGAATAACCGACCGATATACGTTACTCAGATGAGTGACCCACCCGTCGTATATATATTACATCCTCTAACCGTTTGTTGTTTGGAACATGTGGCTGGAGGGTATATTCGGATGAGTGTAACAGACACGCTCGAGGTTATTGACATGAGTAAAACCGCCCCCCCTAGACGTTACCGACCCCCGAGACGTTATTCAGATGAGTGACACGCTTTTCGAATATATATACCCTTCCGATGTTGATTGGGACATGAACATGACATACAGATGGAGGTTGTTCAGATAACCCAGACGCGATTGGTTCAAAACTGTGTTGATCTTTCTCTGTTTGCATCGACGATATGGTTTGATTTAATCTATTGACAAACTTGGAGCTGAACTGCATCTCGCACTAAAATATAGTCTCTAACCAAACCATTTGCCCATGTCAATTTCATCAGGGCCACGCCACGGCATTCGTCGGCCGCGAAGAAGCTCCGCCTGACCCCCCAGGATGCATCCAGGTCGAGAATGAAGAAGGTCCTTGACCACAACGTAAGCGTCTTCGTCAACTCTCTCCAAGACGCTTGTGCTGCCTGGACTGAGAGACTAAACAAGAACTTTGAACCAGTCGCCGTCGAGGACGCCACAGTCGACGCCCTCCTAGCCAACAAGGACTTAACAGCTTTCATGGAGGACTTGGCCAGCAGCAGCAGGAAGCACAAGGAGAGGGGAAACGAGGCCATCCGGGACAACATTCGCGCGTTGTGGAAAAGACTCTCATCGAGTGAAACGGTTGCGAGCTCCGAGGGATGGCAGTTTCGGAGGGTGCTGCTGGGCGCGCTTTGTGGCCCTAACACCACCTACAAGGAGGTTCACGAGTTTGTCGGAGGCAGCCTGAGCCATCGTGCGTTCAACGAGGCCCAGATACGGCGAGATGCCACGGACACCACGAGCATCCTTCACGACCTGTACGTGTCCCTACAATAGAGATATCCCTAAAACAACTTTGCTCTTGTTCTTCCCTGAGAGAAAGAAGCGTGTTGGTGTTATGGCCTGCATGTGAAGCCCCCCCACCGGATGTGCTGGCGCTTTGTTATGTAACAACAACCCAAAACCATCATACCCCTTCCTGTTCACCAATCCTTTGTTTTCGTGAATCGTCCCCTACGTGTACAGGATATCGGACAGGAAGTTGCGATCGGATCGGCTGGAGGTCAGCTGCCCCAAGGCTTTGGCCTGGATTGTCGAGAGAATCATTTTCCACACTCAGCCCTCTCCTTGCCTGGTGAAGACGGAGCACGATTACGACACTGGAAACCACAGGCGCTCAGAAGCGGACAACTCGTTGGTCTGCGTCTATCCTGCGCGGTGCAAGACCGAGTCTGTGCGCTATTTGATGGGGACGAAGCTGCAGCTCTATCAGACAGTCATGAAGGACTTAGACCAAGCGGTGAGACATGCACCCGAATGCATGCATGTACAATAGCCTGACAAGACAATTTGGATAAGCTCCATCATTCTGATAACCAAAATATGCTACTTGTAACGGCGAGGCGCGGGGGTGTCATAGCGAATGGCAGCAGGAATGAGTCACTTCATCTTATATCTCACCTCCTTACACGTGACGCCACACTCCTAGTGACAGCTCACACTAATAATGTTGCGTACCTTGCATATTGCCTATTGCTTGCCCCTTCCTTTTGTAGTTCGCTGCGGAAAAGGTCGAGGTACCCAGCATCAGTCGGCCATCGTTTGACAAGATCATCCCCTTCTACGTGGTGGAGCAGTCCCTGAGGTCCTGCATCTGTGTACACTGCTACAAGGCGAAGCTCGTCACGAAAGGGCTGTGTGACCTGTGGCCGACCCTTCATCAAGGCTCAACCCCGGGATCAAAGTGTGACTGCGAGTGTGAACTGTGTAAGGATGGTGGATGCGCGGAATACCTTCCGTATGGCTCCAGCAAAGCCGTCCACAGCATGGCTGACTTTAGCGACATGCTCATGTGCCCCAAGGAGCAACTGTACTGTTCCGAAGACGGAACGCTGGAGGATGCCCACAAGGCGGTTTGCGTTTCTGGACACTGCTTGCTTTGCAAGCAGAAGCAAGAGCGTTTCTTCGACTGTCCGAAAAACAAAGGGAACGCCGACCGGCAACTGAACCCAGCGGCGGGGCCAGCCCAAGTCGGGGCGCCGCCGCCGGGGGAAGTACGGTGGAAGAACTTCACTACTGTAGACGACAATGGGCAGGCAACTTCGGCACCGCTGCAAAGGAGGCGAGCTCCCAATTCAACGGCGGGTGGCGAAGATGACGAGGACTTCGACCCGCTGGGCGGTTCGAAACGCAGGACCCGAAGGGTGAGCGGTTGCAAATCTGATGCTTCATGTCGTGACGACTTCCTGGCGGTTGTTCGTTCTTCGCGTGAGTAACCTTTTTTTCACAAAGTGTACTTAGTTGCATATCCATGTCATACATTGTACGGTAAATATATTAGTCAGAGGATACGAGTTCAAGTCTGATACTCCATAGTGACTTCCTGGCGGTTATTTGTCCTGATATGTGTGAAAAACCATTTCTTCATACAAGTGCCTAGTCACGCGTGCATATGCTGTAGTAAGATGGTAAATATTATGGTCTCAGATGATACGGCCCGTTCTAACCATTCTTCACACAAGTACCTAGTTATGCATACGAGTGTACTCCATCATCATGACTTCCTGGTGGTTATTTGTTCTTCATGTGAATAACCATTTCTTCACAAGTTACGTATGCTATGTAGTAAGATTTTGTAAAGATGAATACGAGTGTACTCCATCATCATGACTTCCTGGTGGTTATTTGTTCTTCATGTGAATAACCATTTCTTCACAAGTTACGTATGCTATGTAGTAAGATTTTCTAAAGATTGTTGTTGTTGTTGTTGTTTTTCTTCACATTAAACTCGTGTCAGTTGCTAATCCCAAAAATCTATCAAAGACTCGAAGATTACGGTCAGAGGATACGGGTAGTAGTCTCTGACTCTCCGTGTCGTCGTGGCTGTTCTTCAAGTTAATAACCAACTCTTCCAGGGAATTCGTGGTTTTATGCGTGGCGGAAACCTCATATGTTATGCTTTATGTGTATGTCGAAGGGAATGGTGTGGCATCTGCACCACAATAGGGTCGCCGCTCTATTCTTTTGAATATACACTTGTCTTATTTGGAACTTACATTCCCATATCGACGTCGATCTTGTTGAAGCGAAACGAAATAGAATATACAATGGCAAAGAGGCAGCCGCTTGTGTGCGAGAGGCGCGCCGCTTCCACATGACATCATCGCTTCCTTCCGCGACAGCTGTCTGTTGCCCATTATCAATGGAGTTTATCTATTAAAGCATAATTCTGGGGGGAACCGCCGTGTCTCGCACTAACCTGGCGATGGTTGTTGTGTCCCTTGCATCGTGCGGCGCAGGCGGTTGCCGAGAAGACAGGGACGGTCGATGAGTTCATGGCGGAGCTAAAGGACCACCGCGCGTCTTTCGGCAAACACCGGCGGAGTTACAAAACACAGCGGGCAGCATTTACGGAGAAGAAGCTCACGATCGAAGAAGGAGAAGTTCTGTGCATCGTAGACTTCCAGGAACGACTACAGGTCGGAGAGCAAGACGAAGTTCAGTCACAGCACTGGGACCGTGAGGCTACCACGATCTTTCCGTGCCCGATTTTCTTCAAGGTTGATGGACGTGTCTGGGCATACTCCTTCCAGATCCTCAGCGACGACATGGCTCAAGATAACGCCTGGGTGCAGTTCGTCATGTCGAAGTTACTGAACGAAGATATCCCTGCCTTACTGCGGAAGATTGGAGCGAAACCCATGACCCGCTGTACCATCTGGACCGATAACTGCGCCAAGCAGTTCAAGTGCAGGTTCCACTTCGGCTGGGTAGCCGACGCCCAGATAATGGGGCTCGACAAGGATGGCGAGCCCACCGGAATCAGGGTGCACATGGAACATCACTACTTTGGAGCATGCCACGGCAAAAACGTATCGGACGCGGAGGGAGGAATGACGAAGGAGTACGTGCGGCGGATGATACTCAACATGATGTGGCGAGTGGCCAGCTCGAGAGACTTGTGCGAGAAACTGGAGAAGGCGCTAAACTTCTTTCTTCGGTTCGCCAATGGCGAGGAGACCGAGGCATTCTGGAAAGACCGCAACGGGAGGGAAGGAGGAACGGAGCAGCTGCTCGTCACAAAGGTGACTAATAGTCTAGACCAAGATTTTTGCCGTTATGGCCTCGGTGTTGTTCATGTGAGTAAGCAGAGATTGGTTTCGTGGCCTCGGGGCTCGTCAACTGTTTTTGCGTCGGGTCTTCGCCAGTTTAGACCTCATCAACTTAGAGACAACCCAGAGTACTTGTAAGTAAATGACATGTTCACGAAATAATTTATCAACAATCGCCCCCACTGCATACATGTATTCGACACGACCACATGGAGAATGTCGATCGTTTGTGTCGTCGGTGTACATCTCTATTCTTGTATATACAGCAGTCGTGGTGTTGCTCGTCGTGTGAGTAATGCCATCGCGGTCTTACTGATGTGAGTAACCCAGTACACAACCTACCCTACGACCGTCCTCCGGAGTTATTGGTTCGTTATCATTACTCAGCTACATGTTTACGTGCACCGCCCCCCGCTTGCGTGCTCCCGGTGCCGTTGATAGACGTGGATCGGCGAGGATTCAGACCAAACGCAGGAGACGACCTTCCTATTGACCAAGAACCCCAACACGATGATGGGGCGACGCTACATCTTCATCGGTGCCTCGGATGTGTCATCTGACGTACGGAAAGCCGCCCGCTCGTCAGCAAAGGAAATCGAGGTTTCCGGATGTCAGACTATCAGCATGACTGCGGCCACCGATACGCCTGGCGTTCTCTTGACCAACCAGTTTTCTTGCTAGTGAGTGCATCACGAGTTCATATCCAATATGTCATAAGATTTTCTACGTTGTTTGTTCACATTTTGGTATGGATCGGTGGATAGGTTTTGGTTGACAACACACATGCAAGTACTAAATCTTACCCAATCGTTCCTCTCCCGTGTATCATAATCTCCATATTTTCTTTCAGCTGTGCGGTGTGCCGTGACAGTAAGCCGGAAAACTGCCCGCTCATTCGAAAGGGCATCATGTCGGGCCCACAAGAGTTTTCCCGCCGAGCAAACCGAAACACGGACATTGTCAGCGCGAAGGAGGACGACCTGGAAGAACTGTCTGGATGGATGCCCAGCCAGCTGCCATTCGGATCCATTGCTTTGCTACGTGTCGACACTTCGGAGCACGATGGCCAAGATATCGTGCCAGTTGTCGTAGCTCGCAAGGCTGCATGTCCTTGGACGCCGAGAGTAGCAGTAGACGGCATGTTCGATCATGGGGACACTATCGTGTGGGTTGTAGACCTGCCTCAGGCGATTGTGCGAGGTAAAGAAGTGGAATATTTGGTTCCGAGGAGTATTTCAGGGGTCAAGTTTCGGGCGGTTCCTCTCGCGTGCATTGCTGGATTAGGCCAAGGGGTCCTTGGGTATATGGAGCACCCGCAGTGTTCCCAGAGTTCCTTGTCCAGTGAAACGTTTGTGTTGCGGGAAGGCGTCGTTGAGAATGCGCGGTCTACAGTTGTCCTTCTTTCAAGGAACCCTCTTGCGGCGTTTGAGTCCTTCCAGCCCGTGCCGCTGTCGGTCGAAGACGAAACCCGGGCCCCCGTTGAGCCCAGAATGTTTGTAAATGGTACAGTTATTGAGCAGTTGTTCAAGGGCCCGCGAAATAGTAACGGTAGACCGATTTGGAAGCACGGAAAGAAGCTTCGTGCAATCGTCATTGCATGCCAAACAGATATAAAGTCACGTCGCCATCAGTACAAACTGCAGTGGTCGGGAGAACTCATGATCCTGGTTTTGGCTGAGGTGGAGGAATTTGTGGATGAAGGGCACGTCGAACAGTATCGTACCGGGGACGTCGAGGTAGTTCCAACTACTGCTGTGTAGACTTTACATTTGGGGTGCTTACCTTCTATTTTGCTTTGAGGAACTTATTCAGCCGAATTGGGCGGTTGGCAGTGGTGTGAGCGAATGGGAGCGAGGATGTTCGGGACACACATGGTGTGAAGCTATAGATTGATCTGGGACATCCCTACTCCAATTTTGACTCGAAAGGGCAAAATTTGCCAGCCATTACACGCTTTAGACATCTACGTCGTGCACCTGTGACGACTGATAATGTCGCAGCCACTGAACTCAGAAGGGATTCGTGCCAAAACGTGAACCCCTACCGTTGCATGACTCTGAAGTTTCCCGGCGTGCAGGCAAGAAGACCTGAAGAACAAGCGAAAAGGCCCATCAGCCCCACCCAGCACACACAAAGGAAGGGCTGATGCAGAGCCTCTCCGAACGGTCTGGTTTTGCACCCTGCTTCTTGTACTCCCGCTCGAAGTCTGTCTGTGTCTGTGTTTGTCGGTCTCAGTCTGTGATTCTTGGGACACCACATATGCACAGATTCGTTGAGCGGCGAGCGGAACAACAAAAATCGTGACCGTCATAAAAAAAAAAACAGCCGGGCCATTTTTGTCATATTTAGAAACGCAAGATTGCCACAGTATGGTAACAACTGATCCACAGGTTGATGTAGTGGTAACGCGTGGAACTTTCAGCCCAGCGACGTCAATTCAAACCCCTTTGTGCCCTTGTGTTTTTTCATCTTGATAGAAAATGGGGCATTCAGGTCGCAGGTGATCAGTCTCTCCACTTGCCATCCAAATACCCAAAAAATAACTAATAATTAATTAAAAAACACCTACCAGTATATATATGTATTGATACCGTTGGAGGTGCAAAATTTTCCGACAGTAGCCAGTGTCCTCAATGTTAGTGAAATAATGCCACCTATCTATTCAGCCGTGCAACAAACAAGTCAGCAAGTAGACTACAGGCACAGAAGATAAACTCCTTCCTTCCTGCTGCTGCCCGCGAGTCGCTGTTAGAGTAAGCGCCTGCTGGGCAATGTGTCGTAGGCGGTGTTATGTACTGCTGTACGAGGTTCTGTGTGCTTTATGTTGTTGGCCTCCTTCCTTATCTATGCCATACTCTTCGAAAATGACTGTCGGTGCGGTGTCGGCGAATATCGCGAATGCCCCCGTCACGATGCTAGGAATTTGAGTTGGACGTGGCATGCCGCCTTGAAACGCCAATTGGCCCACTGCAGCATGGCTGATTGGTACATCGCCTTCTCCTTCCATTTGAATGTGTATGTAAGTACGGCTCCGGTGACTGATGTGTGTATCCCGGTCAACGCATGTAGTACCACAGGCTTGATTCGATGGGGCGATGGCCATGAACGCTCGAGGGAGGGGGGTGCAGCTCAAGATTGTTTCACGCACACTTGCCGTGCGTTGTGGCCTGGAAACGAGGAAATGGAAGCCTCCGTGGTTGAGGCGTTCTCGTGCTAGAGGCGCCAGCCGTCCTTCGCAAGACCTACTACTTTGACATGTTGGCGTGTTGCAAAAAAGTACTATGTAGCTGTGGTGTGTTCGACGTTGTCGTGGCTGAAGGCACAATGCTGTTGTGTCAGGGTCAAAGCCGGATGTTTTCGTTGTCATGCTTTCAATTTGACTTGTTGTTTTGATCGCCTCTACAATGGTCTCGGGAGTGCCGTGTTCCTGTGGCGTTGCCCTAAAAAATGGACCTACTACAAGGTTAGGGGGTGCCGAGAAATACCACCCTGTCTTGATTTATGCTTGGAATGCCCCGTCTTGATTGGTGCTTGGATTGGAGAACAGGATGTTCACCGGAAATTTGCCAACTTGTAGCCTGTGTGATGTGTTGGAACACGACGGCCCTCGCGTGGTTGTCTTCCCTCCCTCCGCATAGGTGGTACCCATCGGAAATGTGAAGGTTGCAACAGTCCCTGGTGACTAAATCCCGGTCTGTAGTGTAGGGTACAAAGACCGAAGTACATTTTCGATGTCTTGGTTGTTTGTGATTCGTTGTGTTGGCCTTTGTTTGGGAGCTCGTGCGAGCGGGAGCGATCGGCTCTTTTGGGGGCTGTCTTAGCCCGACCTGACGTCAGCGATGTCTGGTGGGTGGGGGCTTTGTCTTGTGTTGTTCACGGTATAATCTACCTCATTCGGGATGCGTGCACCCTTGTTGGGGTAGTTGGCCTGTCACCACGGCAGGCGTACGAGCCAGCCGGATGTTAGCCGCTACTGAGCGGAGGAAGCAGCATGTGCTGCAGCGTTTTTTTATATTTTCTGAAGAACAACAATATTACAACAAGCAAAAGCGCGGCAACCACGCGAGCTCTCGCACAAAAGCCGTAGGGTTAGGAGTGTTTGCGCAAACATTGACGAGGCATGAAACGTGCATGCACGTTCAATCTGGCCGTATCCATCGCCACGAACGGCACCAGCGCACAGCAAACTTTGGGCGTTCATGCTTTGCACACGCATGCAAAACAGAGGGTAGGCTGTACCCACGAACCATGAAAGCGTAACATGTGTGCTGGGTGTTTTTACACATGCTATTCACAATATAAATAGTTTTACTGTTGGCGCTTGACAATCGCCCCATCGAACTAGCAGCGAACGATACCTCACCCAATAACTATTCATTGCGTTCGTCACACTTCGAGCGCCGAAACGTAAATTATCAATATTGACCTAGGAACATCACAGGCAGCAAACTGCAAACCCGAGACGGAACATTTCTGCCGTGGCAGCCAAGAAGCACAAAAAACTAGTTCATCTTGTACACACGAGCCTCGCGATAAGTCTTGGTTACTTCTGTTGCTCTGCATGCCATCAGAAAACACGAACCCCCTTACCGGTCGCCATCCCTTTCCATGTAAATAAGCACAATTGGCCGCCCCACGCCTGGTTCAAATATATATCGTTACAACAGGGCTGTGTTTGCCCACACACTGCCACAGGGAAGCACCCCCCCCCCCGCCGCCCCCCCGATCGTATTCTGACGGCGGTGACGCCTTCCTTGCTGGTACCTAGAACACACGAAAAAACAAAAAAATGTTCTGGCGTCGATTCCAACCAAGAGATTGGCTTGTCCATTCTCCCGGCGACCCATTCCCTAGCGGCAACATGCGCTTCCGGTAGTTTGTGACACTTCGTGCACAGGATCAACGCCGGGCCTTTCCCGTTCCCAGCCGTTCAAGTATCACACCAGCATACGCCACAAGTTCTGGTCCCAGTGTACGGACCGGATGTCTTTTTGCAAGCCCCCCCACGACATACACGGGGAGAACATGCGCCGTTCACGAGGTACGACTCAAGAGGTATCGTCGCGCGCCTCGCCCCATTTTCGGTGTGTCCTACATTGCACAAGGACCTGAGGTGATTCGCGAGCCACGCTCCCAGTCAACACGCTCCATCTTCATGGTCTTCTTGACGAGGGTTTGAAACTCGCGAAGCTCTGCCACCGTGAGGTCGCAACTGTCCGCCGCCGCCCCTCCCTGTTCGGCCTCCCCGGCGTCACCCACCCCCCCGTCTTCGGTCGCTGCCTTCAACGCCGCCGTACACTGCGTGACTAGCACCCCAGCCCACTCGTAAAACAGGAGCCACGCGTTGCTGACAGCTTGAGCGAACTTTTGATCGAAGACACGCCTGCCTCCAGAAGAACGTCATCGGCCTGTGCGAATGGGCGTGGACGCCTAGCCGCTGGTTCGCGACGTCGACGCCACCCATGTTGTTCACATACTTCTTGCGAGCAAGTGGCTGCCTGTTCGACACTCTCTCGCCGTAGTTGTTCGCAGCTTGCTTCCTGTGAAGATATGAAAAAAGAAGTTCGGCAGACGTGTCAGGTTGATCGGAAAAAATATTACGGTGGGTGATGCACATGTAACCTTAGTCCGTGCTGCAGGCAAAACAACTTTTCAGTCTCACCATGGAAGTCTTTCACCTACAGCAGACAAGCATGCCCTCCCAAACCAAACTATATTTCCCCCATCGATCATGCCGTACAACACACCGCCAACAACTTGTTTGGGAGAAAACCATGAAACAACCAATCTACGCATCACTTTGTTGGGGCGACACGAACGGTACACAACGATTGGGTGCAGGTCCGGGAGAAACTATCATTACGGCGTAATTGTGCGGTTGTACTCACTCGTACGCGAGAGGTCGCCACTCGCCCGCAATACATGTTTCGTCGACATCAGGTACACCTCCTGGGAGTCTATCCACTTGACGATCACGAGCTCGTCCAAGCGGGCCGTCAGCATTTGCCCACGCTCCGTCCCCGTCATGCCCTCCTTTGCCCAGAGGTAGTTGGCGAGCTCCACTCCGATGCGGTTCCCGCGTAGAGTCCCGACGGCGAAAATGTCGCGCGTAGCGATGCAGGAGGGCTCCGGTGAAAACTTGTCCATACCTACCGTATTACCCTTGCCGGTGATCTTGTTGGAGAAAGTCTCGCATGCCTCGAGTAGGACGTACACCACCGTGTGTGCCGACCGCCCAAGGGGGCAACTCGCATATGGCCTCAGCTTGGTGTCGCTGCTGAACCCGCCGTCGATGCTCTGGACGAAGCAGTAGCCGGAAGGGCAGCAAATAGCCAGCATTTGATTCCTGGGCGGGAGCCGACGAAGAACAACAACAAAAAAGAAAACGGGCACGTGAGCTGTCGCCATTACTCCCGCGCTGTATAATATGTCAAAGTTGACACACGCGATGCACTTCAGCTTTTGTTTGACACACCCGCAGGAATCTGTAAATAGTTCAATGTTACCATTTAGTGTTTGGCGTACTGTGCTTGCTTACGTCCGTTTGGAGGAAAGTGCGAATGGAAAAACAAAATTCTGGTTCTTCAACTCCTAGAGACAGCAGCACTGTGTAACTATATCGAGGGTGCTTGACAATTTCAATACAACGTGGTGTGATCATACCCTTTGCACGAAGTGAGGGTTCGGAGTGCAAAGGGTTCTCGACTCCGCACAATATGTTCTACAATACCACCCTCATAGTTGTACACCAAAAAAAAAAAAAAAGGCGAACATGCAATGTTTACATGCAACGGTGTGGGAACCGATGATGCGACCGACATCAGACACAAGGACTAACGCCCCCGCCCCCCCCCCCCACGATCTACTCGGGTTTTCACTTTCAACCTCACCGTGCTTGATAGGCTTCGCCTCGTTGAACCTCATGAGCGCGAACATCACTCTCGCCGTGCTCTTAACCATCTGCTCGTCGTACGATAGGCATGCGCCCGGTTCCACAAGCTCGCTCCAGCACTTGTTTAACACGTCCTCCAGCTTCCTGCCGAGAGTAGGAGATATTTATTGTGGTCACATCCGAACGAGTCATCGTACACGGTCTGACGGACGGCACACTTGTTTTGCCGGAAAACATTATACCGTCGGAAGACA